TTGATCCAAGGGCCGTTGAGGCTTGATCTTGGATGAACTGTTGGAAGTTTCTTCAAGGGGCCGTGGGCTTGATCTTTGGAGGTGGATTTGAGCGGATCTTCAAGGAGCCGTTGGGGCTTGATCTTGAGGATGAATGTTTCTTCAAGGGCCGTTAAAGCTTGATCTTGAATAACGATGATTAACGGATCTTCAAGGGCTTTTGGGCTTGATCTTGAAGAACAATGATGAACGGATCTTCAAGGGCTTTTGGGCTTGATCTTGAAGAACGGTTGGATGTATGGATTTGTTGATGTTGTTGATCCAAAGGGTCGTTGGGGCTTGATCTTAGGATGAACGATGAACACTTTCTTCAAGGGCCGTCGAGGCTTGATCTTGAATTGGTGGAAGTTCTTCAAGGGTCATTGGGGCTTGATCTTGAAGGAGGTTTTGACGAAGAACAAAGAGGGCTTTCTTGATCCTTCGGGATTTGCTTGAGAGCTTTAGAGTTTCAAAGCTTCAAGGATTTTGGATGTGTGGGGAGTATTCTCTTCCATTTTGGGAGTAGAGAAATGTATTTGTGAATTGGTTCATGATACCTTGATGTAGAAGCCTATTTATAGGCTTTGAGAATGAATCACCACCACAAAATATTTTTTTCTTTTCCAAGCACCATTGCCTAATTTCCCACTTAATACAATTTTAAACTTGAAGTGGTAATTTTATGGCCTAATTTTCCACTTAATATCATTTTAAACTTGATATGTGCATGCTTTGTCATTGCCCAAAATGAGAAGAAAACCTTGTTTTGATCTTCAATGGATTGAAATGTGCTTGCCTTGTCATTACCCAAAATGAGAAGAAAAACTTGTGTAATCCTCCAAGGGTATTTCTTCTTATTTTGTTGAGTCACACACCATGTGTACAATTTGTATGACACGTGGCATATGCCATGTATGCCCTGACACGTCAAAATTTTAATGCTTTGGTGAACATTTATTTCACCGCAATTTCGATGTCTACAGCTTACATGGCATCCTTTTTTATACTATACTCTAGCCAATGAAACTCATCATACCAATCGGAATTGAAGAGTTGAGGAACTCCGGTAAAAAGTCTTTGTGGAAAGGCTTTTTGAATAGGCCGACAATACTCTCTTTTTAGATAAGCTTTTTAGACTTGATCTCAAATATTAGGCTCATAATCTGACATTGAAGGTCAAGTTCCAGGATTCGCTGGAATATTAGCCAAAATTTTTGTAACTCACTTTCGTTTGAACTTGAACTACCCAGATTGTCCATGGTAGTATTTGTACATTGTTTCCTATAATATCGTAACATAATTGTATAATTTGAAGTCTACTCCAATTTTGTTGCAGATTACGTAAATTTGATAAACTCATACAAACCAATCACAACACAAAACTTAACTCATTCAATAGTCTAAATAAAAACTTCCATCACTTTATCAACACACACACTAAAACACACATATCAATTTATCTAAATAAAAACCATACGTTATGATCCACATCAATCATCAAATATAATTATTGACAAAGAAACATTTTTTTAACCAATTCATTAACAAATATTAGAAATTAATGTGATAAGTTATGAAGAACTTACTTTGGAATTTGAAGGATGAAATTTAGGTGGTCGTCAAAATGATTGTCAAAGTAGAGTGGTAGGAGTTTGGCTTTTGGCTGTTAGGGATTGAGCTTAGTAGAATTGGGATTTGACAATTTGAACTAGAATTGGTTTTCTTAATTCTTGGAGTTTGATGCGGATCTGTTTTTTTTTTTTTTTCTTTTTGTTAAGACAATTTTGGTATGGTTTTTTGGTAAAAGATGTCTTATATAATTTTTCAATTCTTTCTATAAAGTAACTTGGCCCAAAAAAACGTTGTTTGGTCCAAGTATACTAAAAAATAATAAGAGTGGAAAGGTGCGGCAAACAACATAGGTGTTGTGCGCATAACATCCATGTGTGTTGCTGGCAAATCCAAGCCTGCCCTGCTGCCCAACAACCCAAGCTTCTATTTGAGGCATTTTATCAAGCAATTGGACGGCAATGTATGAAGAACAACTCTAACCTTTAAAGCGACATCACCCAAGTCATTCATAGAGATTCACCCCCTTGCCCCTAAGTGGGTCTGCCCATATTTAGATTGACTTAAATCGAACATAATACAGTTAGTTGATATCTAATCTATCCAAAACCGAACTTATTCCTCAAGTGGAAGTATGTGCACAAGAAATACTTATTCTCTATCTCGCTCTCAAACCCTAGAAGAAACCCCAAACTTTACCTTTTCTCCAACCGCAGGACTCTAGCTTTTACTTAGGGCCGATGGCAGGCACCCTTTCAACCTTTCTTGTCCTCTTCCTCCTTCATGTTTCTCTCATCCTCTTTCTTCCCTGCACCTGCGATGGCCCTAATTCCTGTCAGGGAACGGTAGAGCAACCCACTTTCCATGAATGGTGTGGATAAAGGTATGTCTTCGGTCGTTTTGTCCTTCAGCGCAACTGCGATGGCCCCGATTCCCGTCATGGAACAGTGGAGCAACCCACCATCTACGAGGGGTGCGGATGGAGATTTGTCTTTGGGTTTTTTCCCCATGTTTCAAGGTATCATACCTTTGATTTGGGGCTTTGCACTCAAACTTTTCCAAAACGTTGAATCAACCCTCCAACCCCTCACACCCATCCACTCCAGATTTGGTGTATCTCATCTCAACACTTATTCGCTGCTTTATCTGTGCTTCTATCCAATCTAAGACAGCTATATGTTGTCACCCCTACAAAGGTTTGGTATCTCTTCGAATTGGTGTTTACAACACCTGACCTTTTATGTTGCTGCTTGGTTCTAGGCATTCACATGCCTATTGTGTGTTTGTTTTAAACTGAGGACCAGAACTGTGGCGACTGGTATGGGTATGATTCTTCTTGATTTGCATATTTGGTTCTTTTTCACCAGCGTTGAGACAAAGATGGGTTTGAGTTTTGTTTTCTACAGAGGTTTCTCTTGGATTTTCTGTTCGCTAGTCATCTCCACCAATTTTGCTGGTGGAGGCGTTGGGTGAATCTTTGTTTAGGGTTATTAGGTTTTTTTGTACGGTCACTTTTGGCCTCTATGTAATTATTTGTTTGTGGTATAGGTGGGACCTTTACTCATACGTTGAATATATAAGTGGCATCCTGTTTGTACCTACCTATTTATGAGGCTGTTGCTTATTTCCTCACTTTCATCTATGGAATCTATGTATTGTATTCTTTTTAGACTTTGTTATAAAAATTCTCATTGACCAAAAAAAGAAAAAAAAAAGACTAATGCTTTAACTCATATCCCAAGAATTTGAGAAATTAACTACGAAAAAGAAAAAACCTTATCAATAAGGATTAATATTGTATAAAAGAAACGAAGACGGACTCGTTGCAACCTGAGAATCATGAGAAAGTCAGTGGGATTCAGTACAACATCTCCCTATAGTACAATATTTTGACGAAAAAACCACTGCAACGAGCATAAAATTTTGGCCACATAGCAAATCATGTTTTGCTTTCGAAGCATCAAGGAACTGTCCCTTAATATTACCTAGCTTCTCGAACGCCTAAGAACAAAGTTTTGCTTTTCTTGATATATAGCCCTTACCCTCGACATATCCATACACTGATCTATTAATCATAGACATCAAACGTGGACTACATTTTTAAATTATTAGTTCCTAGGTGTAAAAATGCATTTCATGTCACATAGGGAGCAGATAGGCCGCCCTTTCCATTTCTTGTTCAAAGGTGACGATGCTTCAATTGGATTGCCAATAACGTGTATGCTTGAATGACAACTAAAGTGTTTTTAAAATTGCTAAAATCTCTTTTGGGAAAAATGTTTTTAAAATCAATTCATTAGTAAGGATGCAATTGGATCCTTAAAAAATACTTAAAATACTTCTTGTAAAAAGGCACATAACTGATGCTCTTTACAATAAAGACGGTATGTTTTTCAAACCTAAAAATATTACCAGCAAAAACGTTTTCAATGGTTTTCAACATGTATACTGTCCAGTAATCAACGGTTGTGGGTTGGATGGATGGTTCATTGGTTCTTGAAAAAAGTAGAAAAATGGATGGCTCATTTTCTTTGCTCTTTTGTTCTGGCGTTTGTGACACAGGTTGAGTCGCATATAGGACATCATGAGTCATGACAAATTGACATTGTTCACAGAATCTCTATCAGTCTAACAAAATCAAAACTTTCCACGTGTCTTTACATGAACGTGTACAACTTAAGATGAACAAATCAAGATGTTTCTTATTTCGTTGGTCGTGTTTTTTTTCTTCTCAAAATTAAAGATAAAGAAAACAAAAAAGAATGAAGTGATAGATTATTTTGCAAGGTGAATTGTTAGTTTAGTTTTTGAATTATCACAAAAATGAAAAATAGGTTTTTAAATTATTTTTTTAGAAAAATTAGTCATTGAATTATAAAAATCTGCTAATTACATCCCAAATATTATATTTGAAGCTATTATATTTTATTTTTCGTCAATTTAAGTTACGTTATTTGCATGTGATACATATTGGATGGTAGATTAATAATTTTGCATAAAGAGATAGTATGTGGAGTTAACTTTGGAGAATAAAACGAAATTAGCACGTTAATCAACATTTAAATAATAATCAAATCATCAATATCCATCTCGTTTAATTTATACAATTTGGTTTAAAAATTTAATCGATCGAGCATTACTCTTAAAGAGGATCTGCTAGCCGAAATAAAATCAGGAGACGTAAACAAATAGGTTATTTAAATTTATATAAAAGACAATTAAATAATAAAAAGACAAGTAAAGAAGTGAATTGAAGAAAACCGAGCAATTTAGTTGTATATTTTATATTAACTTATTTAACAAGAAAATTAAATAGTCAAACCAATTATAAAAAGAGGAAATAGTAAAATAAAGGCCAAAAGTCCATATGTTATTCACGTAGCAAACGCCAAACCAAAACATGTGAACAGCAGCCGTTCCCTGCCCTACCCTGCCTTGCCCTGCCTTGCCCTGCCCTGGCTCCCAAAACTCCATTCATCTCTCTCTCTCTGTCTCTCTCTGAACCTTCCGACTTCCACTTTTCAATGCCACAATCATCTTTTTTTTTTCTGCTCATATTTGTTTTTGTCTTCCTCCCATTGCTGCCGCCTTCAACATCTCCAGCAGCCATTCAAGACCAAATTCGCGAACCCTTTCCGCGTTCAAAGAATCAATGGTACCTTAAACTCCCCCTTTTCTCTATATTTTAATCTTCCAAGTTCTCTGAGTTTTGACTTTTTCTTCTCGTTTCTATTTTAAGCTCATATTAATTTTACGTTAATGCGTCTATCTTGCACCTTAAACTTGTGTTATTAGAATCTGAGATTGTTTTATAATTCTGGATTCTGAAATGTTTCACTTTCTGATTAGTTTGTGCATAATTTAACAGTTCACAACCAATGAAAATGTAATCTTGTTGCTTTTCTGGTTTTTTATGTTTTGGGTTCTTTAGTGGAGGACACTTCCTTAGAGAAATGAGATTTGAGTGCTTATTAAACAGATTGACTTTGTTACTGCTTCTAATTTGATGTTATGAACCAACTTTTTATTGGGTCCCAACTTGTTAAATTTGCTACCTAGGAGTCATAAAGCAAAAAGATTTAGTCCCTTTTGGACCTTAGCTATAACCGGATGTCATTGTGTCGGTATCTCAAATTCATCAGGCCCTACTATTTGGGATTGTTGAAATACATGACAATGTTAGATCGGGCTGGGATTTTGTGATGATTTGTCTTCTGTATATTGTCTTACAAAGTCTTACAAAGACGACAAAAGCATATTGCATTCTGTATATGAACTGAAATTCACAAGGTTCGGTATTACAAGTTTGAAGAGAAACCATTGATTATCTGTCAAAATTATTATTGGGTTTGCTGGATTTAAATCAGTTTGAAGGACATTCTGTGATTTGTCTTTTTTTTGTTGAAACATTTTGTGATTTGTTTGGCACTGAAATTTACTTTATGATTCATTTAGTTGGTAGGCCCTTGCATTTGCTTTTGTTGGTGTTGTTAAATTGTGTGGTGTCACTGAAAAAGTTGAGCAATTATTATTTTTTCTGTGGTTAAACAAAATTCCGTAGTGTAATAGTACTCTTTTGTTGACGAAAAGCTAAGTCTAATTGCGTTACTGTATCTTCTTACTTGATGACAAGTAGAAAAATAAAGTGTACCTTCTCCCTGTTAGAGAATCAGTGGCATCATTCATAATTCTATAATCTTAATACGTAACGTAATAAATATTATCTGAATGGATTTACTTAGAGCTATAGGTTGTATTATTGTTGAATTTTGTGGAAATTTGACGAATGGGTTTTGTCTCTTTCTTTGTCCTCGTGTCATGGCTGCCAGAGCTTATGTATGAAGTTCTGTCATTATACTTCATATGTATTTTTTTTTTTTTTTGGTTCTTGAGATCTTGACTTATTCTTATTAAAGCTGAAGGAGTTGTCGCCATTTGTTTGTATACAAATCTTTGGATTATTTTGACACACGGAGTTGTTAGGCCTCCTTCCAAAGTACAAACTACAGCATTTCAACGCTTGTAGCACAGTAATTGCATTATTTTCTCTATTGCATTTGTTCCTCTCACTTTTAGCTCTCTGAATAATCAACATTCGGATTTTATTGTTATTATTTGTGAAGTCACTTCAAGAGAAATCAAGTGTTGTGGTTATGGAGGAAGGGTACCGTGGGACAAATGACACTGAACCCAGACGAAGCGTATCCAATGATCGAACAAGCAGTGCCACTTCTTCATTAAGGAGGCGGTCTTTAAGTTTATCACATGTTCAGCCTTCTCAAATAGATGATGACAATGAAAGTGAATGTGTGTCAGAGGCAGGAGATATTGGCGATCGGGCTCTTCACAGCAACAGGCACAGTGAGAGTGGCAGCGTCTGCTTGTTTCCTTCAGAGGATGTTCAACTGCAATCCTATGGATTCTGGGGTCATGACCCTGTTGCATCCAAAGCAATTTCCCCTGTCACTCCCTTGCCAGAGGAAATCATATCTCATCTTTCCACTGATGCGATCATATCCGAGGACAAAAAGCCAGTGAGCTTTCGGTTGATACATTTCATATTCTATATTATCTTTGTTAGAGATCCTTGAACATAAACAGGAGATTTGGTTTTCTTTTTCATTGATCATAACATGTTAAGAGTTTTTTCTTTTCTTTTTGTCGAATCATGCTAGTAACTTAAATTATTTTGTTTTCATATGCAGGAAAATACAACAAGGTTGCCAAAATTCTTGGAATATGGTTCATGCATGACTCATTTAGCAGTTTTTGGCATTCTTGGGGTAACACAGTTAACTCTGTTTCTTACTAAATACTGATGTACATCTTGTTTGAGTAATAATGTGTTGGGTTTATAGTTGTTGCATTCGTTTGGCAAATTGTATTGCGAACTTTTTCTTGCTTTTTTTTTTTTTTTTTTTTTTTTTTTTTTGTGGAAAATCTGTCTAAATGGTATGCTGACAAATTGTATCCAGTCTATTGTACTCTAAAATTTATAAGTTTTGTTTACGAAAATGTTTGATCATGCACTGGCATGTTCATATTTCTGTTTGTCTTGAGAAAATTGAATATGTCACTGTAATACATCTTCTTAGATCTTTCTTCAAATCTGGAAACCTAGATGACATGCTACAATATGCAGGTCTTATCGAGATATCTTCTGCAAAAATTGTTTGGCCCTGGAGTTGTAGGTGTAACAAGCGACAAAACCATTCTCTACCTTGATCTTCCTTCCAATATGGTCTCTCTCTCTCTCTCTCTCTCTCTCTCATGCACACGAACACACACACACACAAATGTATTATGCCCTTTATTCGGTAGTGTTGTGTTAATAAACATCTTTTCTATAAAGCTGTTACTTGTGAGTATTAGGAGGGACTTGTGATGCACACAGTACGATGATCACCGAAGTATTATCAAGTTTCTTAAGACCTTTCTTTCCATACTTTTTTCCCATCATCTTTTAATTTTTTTTATGTCATATTTCTTTAAGGGTTGTGATGCCGAAAATGTTGGATGATGTTCAAACTCAAATTTTTGTTTCTAATGCATTTTTGTAGGTTGGCTCTTTCTTGATGGGGTGGTTTGGTGTTGTTTTCAAAGGAGATATATCCTATGTGTCAGATTATTTGGTCATCGGATTATCAACTGGTTACTTGGGCAGCCTTACAACTTTCAGTGGTTGGAACCAGAAAATGATTGAACTCAGTGTTGAAGGACATTGGGCTTTTGCTCTGCTCGGCTTTTTGATAGGTAAGGTGTCATATTCTAAAGAATTGTTGCAGTAGACATGTAGAGACATGTAGATCGCTTTGGCAAGCAGTATATTTAAATTTCATTTCAATCTAGCTGGTTTCTTACTTTGAGCCTATTCAAAACTTATCCATGGGTAAATCACAAACCTAGTGTAGCTTAAATCGCTGGACTAATATGAGATCCTCTTTTATGTGACGGATGTCAGGTTTGTTTCTTGCGGCCTACTCCCTCATTTTTGGGGTAGAGACAGCAAAGGGTTTTCGGCAGATTCTTGAGAGGAACTCAGTCTGTGGTATTACCAGCTCTAGAAGGAGGTGGAGGGTTGACAGCTACAAGCGTCACTTGGTAGCTTTAGCAGTGTTGTTGCTGATGCTAAGTTCTCTATGGAGTATAGGTGGAATACAGTTAAGAGAGGAATTTAACAGTAGCAGCAGCGAGGCGCAACTATGGTTGGGTTGCATAGTTGGACCTTTTGGTGTGTGGATTCGGTGGTTCTTAGCCCGGCTTAATGGACGTGGATTAGGAAAGACTGGTTTGTTGAAATGGGTTCCATTTGGTACTTTAATTGCCAATGTTTCTGCAGCTTGTGTAATGGCAGCCCTGTCTACTACGAAGAAAGCCGTAAGCTCTTATGATATGATCTCTGTCCACATCCACTCCATGACTTCATCCTCACCATTACCTTTCGTTTCTTATTGTCTCGTGTCCGGCAAGCGTACAGTTCACATATATTTGTCATATTATAAACGGCTAAATTTGTTATTTTGGGGGGTTTTTTTTTTTTTCGTTGAGGTTTTAAAAGCTTCTTGGGGAATTCTTGAACTGTACTATTTTCTTTTGCAATGTTTTCCCAACTGCATTACCTTTGTCATACATTGTCTTGATCCATGCCCCCGGTTTTTTCCTTTTTAATAGAAAATCTGACGTGTAGAACTATTTGTTTGTGCAGGTGAATACTAAGACTTGCGACATTGTTGCAACAGGCATACAATTTGGATTTCTAGGTTGCCTGAGTACTGTTTCTACCTTCATTGCTGAGTTCAACGCAATGAGAGAAAGCAAATACCCTTGGAGAGCATACGCATATGCCATGGCTACGATATGCACCTCGTTTGGTTTGGGAATCCTGATATATTGTGTACCTGTTTGGACAAGGGCATACAAGTAGTAGCATGCTCAGGCCATTATTTTGATGTTTATTTTGTAGTTATGCCTCAGGGATCATGTTTGCTTAACCCTGGTCTTCAGGATGACCGAAAACATGACACCTTGGTGCTTCTTGAGTGTGTAGCAGAGTCTTGCGGGAGAGACACGAAATATATCCTCATCTATCTATCTCCGTCCTCTCGCGATGATACAGATGCATGGGGGTATAGACCCGGTTTGATGTAAGTTTCAGCCATCTCGTAGAACTATCACCAGATTGGTCTGACCAGCCGCAACCAATGCTACCTTTAACACTGGCCAACTTCTTACCGTTCTACAGATGCGTTGGCATAACATGGGGAAACAAAAGTAATTGGGAAATCCATTTTTGAGTGTATGATTTCACTGGAATGATTTCTGAGAATTGCAGATGATGCAACAATTGCAGAGAAGAAAGCTAGTATCAGAGCTGAAATTTTCTCATTGGATTGTCATCCTCGCACCAAATGCGTGCAAAGAATATATTACAGTTAGGGGAGGAGCATCACACTCTCCATCACATATACAAAATCATCCTGGCTACTCAATCTAAGGTCACCTTATGAAACGTTTACACTTGTCCTGAGTTATAACTTAATGAAATCTAATCTAAGAGACCACATGGACTATGATCCAATGGTTCACATTAAATCCTAACAACTTGAATTAAAAACAATACTAGCAAATACATTTACACATTAACAATATTTACATTTACATTTCAATCGATAGCTTCATATATTGTAAATCTTTCAACTTCCACTATCATATACAACCTTGTGTTCAAATTATTATTTCATACTAATATGGTACTCACCACCAACAACTTCACCAACACAAAATAAGGAAATTAAAGAAAAATAAACAAAAATCAACCACTTCATAGGATTTATATATTCTAAGCACCAACAGTACTTTTTTTTTCTTTTTTTTAAAATTTATTTATTGGGGAAGTTTGTTGATCTTACAGTAAACATAGTCGCTGTACTTCTTGGTCTTGTACTTTGATGGATTGTCGGCATTCACAAGCTATAAATAAGGACCTACGGCCTGGTCTGCTGGTGGCTCGAAGAACACTGGGCATGACATTCTTGTCTTGTCCTTGTTCACTGTGGTTCTGTGCAGGATACTCATACTCTTGTACTTTCCATTGCTCATTATCTACATCACCACCATCAGTTAATTACTTAATTAATTAACTTATTTAGCTTAATACCAGGTGACTTTTAACAAAGGAGGTTTGGCGTTTGGGCTATTGCTGATAAAGGAAGCGACAGAAATTTGGGACCATTTTCTGTAGGAGCACCGTAATACATGATGAACTGATTCATTTAAAGTATCACCTATGTATGTTCGTCTACTCATGTGGGACCATGATTTTCCAAGCCACTGTTACCTCAAAAGTTCGATTATGGACTTACCAGCAAGGTTGGTCATGGCCCAGTGCAAACAGGGCGCCTGTCCAGGGCCCAAATCTGATTGGGGCACCAAATAACAGATATATAGGACTGCTTATAAAGATTCAAAGCTCAAAATTTCAAACTTCTATATACATAATACTGTAATTCGAGCATAGTAGAGTCTTATCGACGTGGGGTTATTTGATTCCCAACTCTGCATGCTTGCAGTTGCAGGTAGTTTACTAAAATGGAATATGATTCTCTCCCGTCCTATTCTCATTCCCTTCCTCTCCTCTCACATTTTTTTTTTGTCTTATTGTTTCTATACAAAAATCAATATAAAATGTTAACGTGATTTAATCGTAACCATTCAAGTAGAAGGGAAGAAAAGGGGAGATAATCCTCCTTTGGCTAAAAAAGCATTCGCTTTGCACTAGGCCTAGGCACGGCTCGGTACCGGGGTAGGATTGAAACTGAACCCATAGCTAAATTTTGGTACGGTTTGGTATGGTACGAATGGGTGTACCGACTTAGTACCGAACCTAATAGGTTGGGTTCGGTTCTGGGCTTTTAAAGAACAAGGCCTGTTTTTCAATTTTTGTAAAAAAAATGCCAAACTCAGTTTTTGGCCCAAAATTAACAAAGTTTACACAAATCTATTTTTGGCCCAGATTTACAGCAATAAAAAACACAAACAGATTTGGCCCAAAAAAATGCCCAAATCAGCAAGTTGCTTCCCAAATCTTTACAACAAGTTGCTTCCCCCAAAAAACGTGTGGGAAATAAAGTATCTGACAGCAACCATAAAAACAATAAAAACACAATCTTTACAACAGTCAACAACAACCATTCAAACTCATATGAACCTATATGAACCATTCAAACACAAACAGATTCAATTGAGTCTTTAGTCAACCATTCAAACTCATATGAGTCAAGACACAGATGTTTCCCAAATCAGCTCTTCCTGATATTGAGGCATTAGTACAAATTCAATCCCAATAACATCAAACATAAACGAATTCAATCCCTTCAACAATTCAATCCAACAACATTAAACATCAAAAATTCAATCCAACAACATTAAACATAAACAAATTCAATCCAACAACAAAGTTCAAGTAAATGCCTTATGGCATTAGTACAAACCAAAATGAAAAATCAAAGTTCTAAGTCAAAGCCTTATGGCATTAATACAATCCAAATGTAATAGCAAACGTCAAACTAAATGCCTTAATAACTAATAAGCTCAATTCATATAAAATAAAAGCAATTACCCTTTAGGTGCCTTATGCTTGACACCCTTGGTGGTTAGAGGTTTGTGAGGATTTGAAGGGACCTTTGATTGAGCACCTTTTGAAGCTCGAGGAGGTCGGTTAGAAGCTTGTGAAGCGGATGCTTGAGAAGGCCGGGTAAGAGGTTGTGAAGACGACGCTTGTTGTTTCGGATTATTAATAGAGAGAGAAGAAATGCTTGATGTCAACAACTCTACATAATACAAAAATATACACAACTTATAAACACAAAGAATAAAATCTGAAAAATTACAAACAAGAACTAAGAAGAGAAATAAGAAATTTCCCGCTTCAATACTTTCGTAGAACTCTAAGTGCTCCAACGAAGGTGCATCATCTTCTAAGGTGATAATACCATCACCCCTCATCCAATTATGCATGCAAATTAAGGCCTCCACAGATTTAGGAGTTAAAGAACTCCTAAAATCCAAAATTACTCTCCCTCCAGTACTAAAAGCACTATCCGAAGCCACGGTAGATGCTTGAATAACAAATATGTCTTTTACAATGACCGCCAATATAGGATACTTGCAACCATTAGTCTTCCACCATGAGAGAATTTTAAAAGCACCCTTGGTTTCTTTGTCCAACTTCTCCAATGGATCCAACAAATATGAATCCACCTCATCTCCCACCACTTATTCCTCACTCTCTTCTACAAAATCAATCCAATCATCTACATAATCATCTTCAAAGGATTCAACATGTGAAGTAGAAGAAGACTCTCGAGAAGGTGTGGGGACCTTCATGTGCTTCCCCCCATCAACCCTTGGGGCATATTCCTTGTAAAGGGCATCCAACACATCTCTTATCTCCTTAGTTTTCAAATGAACATCAACTTCCAATAATTGTCTTTTAAAGAGATGAGTGACATGCCTTAACTTGAACCTTGGATCTAAAATAAGAGCAACCACTAGCAAATTGTTCAATTGAAGGTAAGAACCAAAATATTTGTCATACTTTGCTCTCATGTTGGTTGCCATTTGATTCAAAAGAACCTTCATTGGTGAACTGGTTTGCACATTGGGTGGGGGAACCAAATTCTTGATAGCTGTCTCTATTTTGATGACATCATGGAGAGCGGTATGAGCAAACACCTCCGCCTTTTCCCAATCTTCTCTGGTTGGTGGTCCAACCTTTCTTTGACCTTTAATAGCAACTATTCCATCTTCATCCTTTTCTTCTTCAAATTCTTTGAAGTACACGCTAAAAGGAGTATCACTTTCCTCTCCCATCCTAGCAAAGGCCTTCTTAAACTTTATGGCTACTTCCAACATATGAAATGTGGAATTCCACCTTGTGGGGCAATCTAAGCAAACACTTGCTTTACATGTTAACTTCTCCATGAACACGGCTTGCTTGAAATACTTTAACGTGTGGAGAGCTCCTCACAAATCTCACACAATTTCTTATGGCTTAGAGGCATTTGGTTAGCCTCTTCATCCCTTGACCCACAATTAAATTGGTTTTGTGAGCGATACACCTCACATGTAAATACTCCCCATGCAAAACGGCTTGTGAATTTTCCCACCTTATTCATCGTTGACCTAAGTTGATCCAATGCAACTTTATTTGCGGAAGCATTGTCCATCGTGATGGTGAGTAACAAACAAGTTTCAATCAACTTAGCTATCATGGCTCCCGAGTGGTTAGCAATAAGACAAAAATTAATGATTCTCTTATGCATATTCCATTCATCATCAATAAAGTGTGTGGTAAGGACCATATAATTGATGTTTTGAGTGCTTGTCCAAGTGTCGGTGGTAAGAGAAATTCGATGTGCATGCAATTTCTTTTTCAAACTATCCTTAGATTGGGCATGCATTCTAAGGAAAGTTGTAACAAGAGTCCTCCTAGAGGGCACACGAAACAATGGACATGCAACACTACAAAATCTATTGAACCCTATCTTCTCAACGGTACTAAAGGGTACCTCATCAAGAACAATCATCTCTACACATGCTTCCAAACAATCGGATTGGTTAAACTCCTTATTAACCAAAGTTTTACCCCCTTTCTTCTCCTCATAAAGAAGTTTTTGATTTTTCCTCAAGTTGGCTTGATAATATTTACATTGTCGATTAAGATGTTTTCTCATTCCGGATGTACCATTAGTGCTTGAATCGGTCGCATAGTCACCATCATTTGTATGTTTTGGGCAATAGACACACATTTAGCTCTAAGTCTTACATGTGGAACCATTACTAGTTCATCATTTTCATCTTTTACAACATTCCCTTCTCGATCCTTAAGGCTTACTAGGTCTTAACTTGATAAGGCCTAAAGTGCTCCCAAACCTTACTACGTTTACCTTGTAGGAGTTGGGAGACACTTACCTCCTCTTGATCTCCTTCACTTTTGGTCTCACATTTGCTTCCCCCCGATTCATATTCCAAATCAATTGCATCATCTACAGAATCTACACGGTCTAAAGCCTGCATCCAATCAATACAAAAACATCAATTACAATTACAATTACAAGTTAATCTAGCAAAACTCCTATTAATAATCATCAAAGATCAAAGCCCCCAGCGGCAAATTACCTAACCAAAACCATAAAAACACAAACTTTACAGCAGCAACCATTCATACACAGAGAAATGGAAGAGTAGAAATAAAAAGCCTCAAACACAATTTGAGGGGCCTTATCACAGGCGATTGTCTTATGGCCAAGGCAACATATGTTTTTTTCTAGTTTAAAAATAATTAAATAAATGTGGAAAATCATAAGATATAATTGTAAATTTATTAACAAAACAGGAAGAAATGATTAAAAAATATCACAAAGAAAAGAAAAACCCCACATCAGTATAGAAAAATAAAAAAATACAGTGCATTATGCAAATGCAGTAGGATGTCTCAAAGCAATAAAAAAAAATACAGTGCATTATGCAACATATGCTTCACATTGTTTGACTAAACAAGTTATAGAAGAAATGTTCAAACATTGCATGACTTTATCCAATCCTGGATTGCTTCAAGAAGGTTCAAGGACACCAATCTTGTCTTGATTTTGATCTCCACCAATCATTCCATCTATTAAAATCCTCATCTCAACATCTTGTACAAAACCGATCACCAGATTAAAATCCTCATCTCTCTCTGTCTCCTTTTATCCCTTAACGGTTCCCTTTACCTGTTCTTCCTATCTTGCACATCGAATGGCAGTAAATTGACACCAGTTGTTGATATCTTTTGTGTTTCTTATGTTAAAAAAAGGGCACCAAGTTGGAAATAAATAAGAAACCTTTTAAAAGGTTTGATCTTTAAAGATATACAAAAACCAAAAACCAAAAACCAAAAACCAACAAAAAATAAACAAGTTAAGGAATCGTATGCATATAGCTATAAACAAGTTAAGGAATAAAAAATAAATAGGTTTGATCCTTGGGATCCTCGGGCCCCTCAAACACAAACTTTACAGCAGCAACCATTCAAACACAAACTTTTTCTCTCTTTTGACAACTGATACATAGCCAAAAAGCAATTCCCTATCAGATACTTATTTCCCAGATAAATTTTCATTGGAAATATATGGGAATCTGATTCTCAAGCAAAAGTAGAGGACCTATTACAAAATGCATGCACCTCTTAGCGGCAGGTATATGCATATAGCTATAAACTACTACTAGATATATATACGTATATAGCTATACCTATTACATATATATGAAAAATTGAAAACCCAATTTCTAAACAACCAAGAACTCATCCAGAACCAACCAAGAAAAATGCAAGTGTATTAACCAATTCCAACCAACACAGTTCACCAATCGAATCTGTGAAAAGTGTAGTCATGAAAAATGCAACTAACAGAGATTAACTACATCAAAACTACAAAATCCAATGGACAAACTCAAAAGCCTAAGCATAATCTTACAATTTCAGAGAAACCCCCAATTCCAATCCCAATTTGAATCTAAAAATTAAAACCCTAATTTTATAAAATGCAACTAATAGAGATTAACTACATCAAAACTACAAAATCCAACGACAAACTCAAAAGCCTCAGCATAATCATACAATTTCAGAGAAACCCCCAATTCCAATCCCAATTTGAATCTAAAAATTGAAACCCTAATTTTATAAATGCAAACAAATTCAAGAGGTTGACTTACCATGAGAGAAGACGATGCCACGAGGTAGTGGTGGAGGTGAGACCGTGAGAGAGATTGTAGAGGAGGAGGAGTGGTGGACGCATAGAGAGACTGAGAGAGAGACCACCAACCGGAGATACGAGTTTTCTTCGAGTGAGAAAAGTGAGTTTTCTTACCGCAGGGACTCAGGGAGGAAATCTCGTGTGAACAAATCCTTGGGAAACCAATAAAAACAAGCCACATGGAAAAACAATTTTAATTGAAAAATTGATCGGTACGGTTCAATACCGAATGTAAAACCGAAACCGAACCGACTACACAAAAAACCAAACCGAGGCCTACTTTGCACGTTTGCAGCCGAGGCGGCCATTTCAAAGGTGGTGAGAAAAGCGCAGAAACTGGAAGAAGATGGCCCATCTAACCTAATTTGGTTTGATTAGCATACGACGTCGTCTTTTTGAAAGTTAAGTGAAACGTGCGTTTGGTCCTGAATAATATCATGCTCTTTTTTTATATATTTTTTATTTTTAGATAATATTTTGTTACTCAAAAAAATAAAAAAATAAATAAAACTTATGTGTAATATAATATAATTATATAACACTTACCAAGTATCTTCACCCAACCTCTTCTCTCACCTCAAAATTCCAATGAAATTTAAAAAAAATCTTATTCTAACTTGCTAGCTGCTCGTACCTTTGAATATATGATTATTTTTTTACTATTTTTTAACATCATTAATACAGATATTTGGAATTTCTATCTTTTAATCTTGAAACAGATGTTCTTCATGTTGAAAAACTTCTAATCGTGAAGATTAGGGCTGGTTTGGTATTGATGTGCTTTGAAAAAAAAAATTGCTTCTGTTGTGTTATGAGAATAAGCAGTTGTGAAATAAAACAGAAGAGTGTTTGGTAAACTTTTTTGTATAAGTGTTTGTTGATGCACAAAACTGGATGGTTTTGGAACAACGTAAATCCGACCGTAAATCATGCAAATGCCCAAGAACACAAAGATGTATCGTGGTTCACCCCAATGTTTGGGCTACGTCCACACTGATGTTAATATTGTTTCACTCTGAATGGTGAATATATAAGAAGGCTAGAGGCAGTGTGCTCTCTAGCCTATTTTCTGTGTTTGCCCTCTCTGAGATGTTTTCTCTTTTCCTGTGGCCTAAACCTTGACCCCCCCTAATGAGGAGAGTGAGGAGTCATTTTATAGAATAAGGGCTCATCACTTATTACATATTTACCCTTTTATTTATTACATAATTACATTTGAGTCCCTCGAGTATTTATACGAGGTCTAAATACGGAGGCCCTAAATATGGTACAAACAGTACTCCCCTAAGTCTTTAGTCAAGAGAGTCTTTTGGCTGGAGACTTGAAATTCAGTCCATGTGTGGGCCGAAGTAACTAGATGTCGTCTAGAACTGATACTCGATATGAGGCGGTGCTCAATGTGAAATGATTCTCAACTAGAAGTAGCACATGTTGCGAGGCTTCTCGGCTTGTGGCTAATGTTGCCTTGGTTGGCTCGGCTTGTGGCATTGAAGGTGAGGGAATCCCTTTTATAGAATAAGAGCTCGCTCCTCAATGCATAAATGATGGGCTAGAATTGATACTCGCGTTGAGGCGGTTGCTCAGCAGGCGGCGATGCTCTCTAATGATGGTGAGGGAGTCTTTTTTATAGAATAAGGGCTCACTCCTCAATACATAAGTGATGGGTTAGGAGTGATGCTCGCAGCGATGCGGTTGCTCAGCTGGCGGCGATGCTCTCTAATGAAGGTGGGGGAGTCCCTTTTATAGAATAAGGGTTCGCTCCTCAATACATAAGTGATGGGCTAAGAGTCTCTCTCTAATGAAGGTGAGGGAGTCCTTTTTATAAAATAAGGGTTCGCTCCTCAATACATGAATAATGGATGCTCTCTAATGAAAGTGAGGGAGTCCCTTTTCTAGAATAAGGGTTCGCTCCTCAGTACATAAATGATGGGCTAAGTCCCCCAAGTATTTTTCATGAGACCCAGTTGCGGAAGCCCAATATATGGTACTTAGTGTAGTCCCCCAAGTTTTCAGTCAATAGAGTATGCTGGCTGGAGACTTCAAAATCAATCTAGGTATGGGCCGAAGTGGCGGTTGTTCGAAGGCGGTCTTTGTATACCATGCACTGAAGCTTTGTAGGTGAATCTTTGAAAGTGAAGTTTTATAGGTGAGGCTTTGAAAGTGAAGCTTTAAAGCTGGAGCTTTTGTAAATGAAGCTTTGAAGTTGGAGCTTTGTAAATGAAGCTTTCGAAGTTGGAGCTTTTGTAAATGAAGCTTTCGAAGCTGGAGCTCTGTAAATGAAGCTTTCGAAGCTGGAGCTCTCGAAGCTGGAGCTATGTAAATGAAGCTTTCGAAGCTGGAGCTCTGTAAATGAAGCTTTCGAAGCTGGAGCTCTGTAAATGAAGCTTTCAAAGCTGGAGCTCTATAAATGAAGCTTTCGAATCTAGAGCTATGTAAATGAAGCTTTCGAATCTAGAGCTATGTAAATGAAGCTTTCGAAGCTGAAGCTCTGTAAATGAAGCTTTCGAAGCTAGAGCTCTGTAAATGAAGCTTTCGAAGCTGATTGACATAAGTGATGCTCATGGATGTTGATATGAGTGATGCTCATGAATGTTGACATAAGTGATACTCATGAATGTTTATGTATGATTGACATGAGTGATGCTCATGAATGTTTATGTATGATTGATATGAGTGATGCTCATGTATGATGGTGATTGTCATGAGTGATGCTCATGTATGATTTTTTGGACGACGGGTTGTACTTTTGATCACTTGGTTGGTGATAATAACGGCAGGCTGCTAAATAATTTTGGAGTACTAGATGTACTTTTGATCACCTAATTGGTGATAATAATGGTAGGCTGCCGAATAATTTTGGAGTACTGGACGTACTTTTGATCACCTGGTTGGTGATAATAGAGGGTGAACCTTAAGTGGTGGGATGAAGGTTGGAGTTTGAAGCCATAGGGCCTGGCTTTTTTGGGCATATGGGCCTTCGCCCTCCACATAACATTTCAGCCCACTATTTTGGGCTTGCCAACATTTTGTCTTTTTTTTTTCTTTGGCATGCTGCCTTCTTTCTTTATTTATGATTGCCCTCTGGTGAGGTTATACAGATGTCTCTAAAAGATAAGAAAAGTAAATCACGTCATTCAAAAAAGCTGTTGGGACTTGGCAACAGCGAGATTTCTCCCTTCACATCAACCTCAGCGGTCCAGCTGTAGGAGGAAACCTTCACGTGGAGGCAGGTTTAGTTAGCAAGCATGGTCTCTCATACTTTGATAGTACAATCCTGGGAGCCTATATATATGACAAACTTTGTCAAAGCAAAATATTGTATTATGTGCCTTTTGTGAATAAATGATTTATTCAGTTTGTGTGATAAATCATATGTTGTATAAATCAACAATATATTAAGCATATAATATATATATATATATATATATATATATATATATATATATATATATATATATATAGACACACACATGGCAGATAATTTTTTTAAGTGGCAGGTAACATGATGGGATATTAAAGGAGAACATCTTATCTTTCTTTTGAATTTGGTGGTCTGTAGCTTTTGATAAAGCTTCCCTGCATGTTCTAGCCTTGAGAAGGCTGGGAAGGTTGCTTTTAGTAGCTAGCAGATGTCAGAAAATGAACTCACTACAGGACCGAACCACTTCTTTCCACTTTCCTCCTCGACTTTTCTCCATCTCCAGACATCATTTTCCTTTTCTCTTTTCCACCACACCTCTCTCTCTGTCTCCACCTCCAGACATACTTTTTTTTTTTCCACCTCCAGACATCCTTTTTCTTTTTCTCCACCTCCAGACTTACTTTCCTTTTTCTCCACCTACATATATCTTTTTCCTTTTTCTCCACCTACATATGGCTGTTTTCTTTTATATATATATATATATATATATAACACCCAGGGGAATCAACAATGTCAAAAGAGCATCAAAATAAAGCTGCAAGCGAACAACGAAGACGGAGCTCCTTGGAAACGTCAAGAGTAATGGCGGAGGAGGACGACGACTTAGAGACGATGAGAGTCAACTCGGGATTCGAATATGGAGGAGGAGTATTCTCTCGGAGATTCTCTCCCATCGCTGGAGTTCAGCTGACTAATTGGTCGTGCAGTTCCTTCCGGTCCCGCCGTCGGTTACCACCAATATGGGAAGGTTATACCCTCGACCAAGCTCATGTCGTAGAAATCAAGCCCGTCCGTACCGTTCAGCGTGAACTCTACAAGAGTAATAGGTGGCGCGGCTCCACAACCAGCACATTCGACTGTAGAAGACCTGCAGTCGCCTGTCAAGCAAGAGAAGTTGCCTGTGGTTGAATCCTGGGAGCAGAGCGTTCGCCCCCATAACCTACTGAACCACAAGGTGGGGACGGAAAACGTGTTGGACTCTCTAGGAGGCAAAAAGAATCCAATGGTGGCCGGTCGCTGGTCAGTCCTGGCATTAGACAGAATGGCCGGCCATATGGTGGTGGTGCACTTGTTTGCGATGGTGAACGTCGTCGGGTAGCCAACTATAATGGATTGAAGGAGATAGAGAAGGAAAAGGAATGATGCATGAAAAACCTTGATGGGAAGCCATTGGAAGTGAAATGTTTTTTTTGTTTTTTTTTGTTTTTTTTGTTTAAGTAGATATTGTGGGAGATGGTAGTTTTACTGGGAAGGGGAGAGAGTTGTGTGAGAGAATATGGGGTCGTAAATGTTTTTGTCGGGTTTCCATCGCTGCTGTCGTGACCGGGAGCTGGAGCGAAAGACATGGGTTTTGCAGTGACTCTGCAGGTGCTTGGTTCTTGGGTTTCTGCAGATTCACGGTGGATATTGTGGTGAGGTTTCGCAGTGGTGAGATGAAAAAATGAAAGAGAAACGACAGCTTTTCATGTTGATTCCCACAGACGGCACCAAATGTTGATGCACAAAACTAGAAGGTCTAGGAACAACGTAAATCCGACCGTGAATAATGTAAAAGCCCAAGAACACAAACATGTATCGTGGTTCACCCCAATGTTTGGGCTACGTCCACACTGATGTTGATATTGTTTCACTCTGAATGGTGAATATACAGGAAGGCTAGAGGCAGTGTGCTCTCTAGCCTATTTTCTGTGTTTCCCTTTTTGAGATGTTTTCTATCTTCCCATGGCCTAAACCTTGACCCCCCCCTAATGAGGAGAGTGAGGAGTCATTTTATACAATAAGGGCTCTTCACTTATAACATATTTGCCCCTTCATTTGTTACATAATTACATTTGAGTCCCCCGAGTATTTATACGAAGTCTAAATACAGAGGCCCTAAATATGGTACAAACAATGTTTATGGAAGAAAAAAAACAGTATTATTAGTGTTTATAATATGTAAAACAAGCTGAATGTACTAAGCATATAAAAAACACAAAAAATGGCATAATACTAGATGTGCCATTAATTTAATTTTCTTCATCTGCATCGAGTAGTCTTTCTCAAACTACTAACCCCACTACCATAAACCCAAACTTTACTAGAAGCTCCACATAAAAATCAAGTTTTTAATTCTTTGAATTTCATCTGCCCATAATTGAATTAGTTCGTTAAAATCTAGCTTTGAGTACAATTAGTAAAATTTTAAAAATCGGCAATAACCCTTTTTTTTTGTCTCAGTTTTTTTCTTTTTTTTTTTTTAAGCTCAACATCTTCAAATTCTCATTTAAATTTTTGTTGTTTTTTTTTTTTTTCTTCCTCTTCTTCTCCTTTAATGATTTGCATTGTTTTCCTCATCTATCATATCATGTTTTTTGCAGTACATCAGGGTTTATTCGGGCGCTCCTCCCGGATACTGGTTTCTTTCTTCTTCCGAGACTAATCATTTTTTCTTTTTGAAACTATATAGTGTGAATTTGATCATAAGAAGTAGTTTCCTGTATTTAATTTTGGTTTTTGGAATAATTGAGTTTTGGTGTTTGTCTAGGCAATTTGGGCTATCCTAATTTGCAGAAATACGAAGATCAGTCACTTGTAAGCGGTGCAATCTGGGAAATCTGGGCAAATTTGCGATGCCAAAATCGAATCTGGTCCTCGCTAGAAAAGATGGTGGTATTTCTCGGCGCGATTTTGTCGGCATGGGAGTGAGAGAGGACGGACAAGAAATGGGAGGAAGGACAGGCATAACCAACATCCTAGGGCATGGAATTCAAGGTCAATAATGGTGATTGTTGAAGCTGGGAGTGAACGATGTTGTGGGGGGATAGACAAAAACGACCTCCCAATTGAAGTCGGCAACGTTTTCCAGTTGGTATTATGTGTAATTATTTAATTGTTTAAGGTCATTTTGGGTGTTTGAAAGTTTCATTAAAGGGCTCAGCGCCTCTTGCAAATTAGGTTTGTGTAGAAGCTATGGAAGAAAAAAAAACCAGTTTTTCAAAGCTAGCTTTTGCTGCTTTGAACTTTTAGCTTTTTTTTCACCCAAAACTGTAAAAAAAAGATGAAGTTGAATGTTTACCAAACACAAAAAAGCTCCCAGCTTTTTTTGATACTTTTTTTTTTTAAAAGCACCTTAATACCAAACCAGTACTTATAATCTTGAAAAGCTTATTACATTTTTAAAACATTGCTGCAATTGGCAATTGCAAATAAATACACTTTGGGAAATTTTATTTGAACCCATGAAACCTCTTTCTACACCCAAAACTTAAAAAACTTTTTGCAATAATCTGTGAATTGTCTTTTTTACCCTATTGTATAATTAGAACCACTAAACTTATAAGATGAATTTTAACAATAAACTAAAATTTATCAATAAACCCACATCTAATAATCAAACCCTACCATCATAGAATCTTTATCCTACATTCATTCTAACTAAAACCTAAGATGCTTTCATAAAGAAAAACAAGCTCTTTTTGAACGATGGATGGTGATTTAGAAGTTTTGAATTCTCTAACTAAAGTACGAATCAATTTTTGGAAGTTTGTTTTTTTGTTTGATTTCAATTTTTATTAGGATTTAGGAACAAAATCAGCACATTTTCTAAATCATAATTACTAGCAGAAACATATATATGGGATTTAAAATTTTGAAGTCTAGCAACTTGTGCGAATGTCATGCTTTCTTCTCCTTTCATTCGTGAAGGGTGGAGGCTATGCTTTGCTTGTAGTTTTGATGGCAGCGCATAGCAGCACTATAGCTACTGTTCTTGAATTTAAAGGTGTTGAGATCATTCTATCAAGTGAAACAAATGTATGTAGTCTCCAAAATGTTCCCCTTCTTTCTCTTGTTTCAATCAATATTGTTTTTCATAATTTAATTTGGTTGTTTGGATGTCGAAAATGTTTTGATTTCATTAAAATATAGGAACATGAGGTTCAAGTAGGTTCATAACATGAAAAATATGCCTTCAATTTTAGAGTTTAATTTTTTTATCTTGATTATGATAATTAAAACATAATCTTGTTTTGATTATGAGATTATTAGGTACCCTTATCGTCATTTAATGGGAAGAAACTGTGCTTCTCCTTCACTGCAAATTGGTGTAGGCCTTGCAGTTACCCTTTAGCATTACAAGAACATGACTTTATGAAATGCTTAGAGTGGAAGGCAAAGAGTTTAAGATAATCTTTGTCTCTTTTGGTTGTGGTGAGGTAAAAAATGAATACTTCAAGTGCATGCCCTGGCTGGCATTGAACGAATGCTATTTCATAAAAGATTGAGTGACATCTACTGCATATAATGAGTTGTAGAATGCTGATTTTGGGTCTTTTTAGGCTTTTCTAAAAAAGATAAATGGGTATTTTATAAGAAGTTTGCAAATTTTATTTTTCTAAGAATGGTTTAAATATATTGAATAAATTAGTTTTTGTGAGGTAGTGTTAGTTTAGGGAGTATAAGTTGGGTTTTAGAAAGAGATATTGACTGTGATTTATTTAATAGTAATATGAGTTTTTATAGATGAGTAAGCTGGTTTGGGGCTATTGTATTTTGTGCTTTGAAAAAAAACTGCTTCTGCTGTGCTGTGAGAATAAGCTCATTTTTGTTGCTTCACATTTTCAGCTTTTTTTTCTCACTCAAAACTATGAAAATAAGTTGTTTTTAAGTGTTTACCAAACACATTTTTGAGCTCAGTTTTTTTATACCCACTTTTTATAAAAGCACATCAGTACCAAACCAGTACAAAGTTTAGTGTACAAAGAGGTTATATGGGTTCAAATAAAATTTCCCATACACTTTCTCACAACCTATTATATTTGAGAGGCCTAAATGTTTTCCCTTCTTGTTTAAAAAAATAAAATAAAAAATTTTGCCTTCTTGATGATAAGAGTTCCGTAAAAACTATCATATTTAATATTAAATTTTCAAACAAAACAAGAAAAAAAATATGCATGGGAGAAATGTTCATATTTTTCAAAATATAAAAGGGTACCTTTGTAGGCTTTGCTCGGGGCCTCCAAAACTTCCGGACTGGCCCTCTTCACTAGCTCTCGGTGTAGCTGTATTAGACGGATAAGGGTGCCACCATCACTCTACTTTTCCACTACATTCTAATATTCCAAGTTCTCTGAGTTTTGATTTTTTTCTTCTCATTTCTATTTTAAGCTCGTATTAATTTTACTATAATGCGTCTGTCATCACTTTAAACTTGTGTTGTTAGAATATGAGATTGTTTTATAATTCTGGTTCTGAAAAGTTTCAATTTTTGAGTAGTTTGTGCATAATTTAACAGTTCACAACCAATACCTGCTAATCTGATGCCCATTCCGCCTCAACTGTAATCTATTTGCTTTTTTAGGTTTCTTAAGTTTTGGGTTCTTTAGTGGAGGACATGTCCTTAGAGAAATGAGATTTGAGTGCTTATGAAACAGATTGACTTGTAAATGCTTCTGATTTGTTTAGTTTGAAACCAGATGTTTTTATTTCGGGAGACCAGTAAATATAAGTCCTATGTTCTATATATCATATGAAATTATTTTAGCCCGAAATATTCTTTTATGTTTTTATTAGTTTAATGGTTATTTTTGAATTGAGGTCGGTAGAAAGTTTCAATCGGATAAATTTGTTATGTAGATTTTCAATGATAGCAGAATTTTTTCATTCGATTTTCAATCTGAAGCAAAAAGTGATCAAATTGAGGTTTGCAACAACCAATTGACTGTTTTGAGACTTTCAAGATTTTACTAAGGTTCAGTTTCCCCAAATATTTCTTTGGGATGAGGATTTTTGTGTGGAATGGTCTTTCAAGAGATGCTTTATATAAGTTAACAGATTTTAGTGAGGAAGTTAATATGGCAAAAGTATATTGACTGTTGTAATGCAATATCTAAGATTTTTTCAAAAAATTTTGGATTAGTTTCAAAGTGGAATTTTAGGAATAGGAACCGAGTTTAATTGGATTTTAGATTATTTTGGTTTTAGTTTAAGATGCGATAGAGAAGTTGAATTTCATTGTTTTAGTATAGAAATTTTTATTTTCGTAGTAGGATTTTTATTTGAATTTAGAAGGAACGCTTTTATTGCATTTATTTTATAAGTGGTATTAAATACATTTGTTTTTGAGGACCCATAAGCTTTAGGTTGATAGGTTGGAGTTCAGTCTAGTTCGAAGCAAGAACTACTAGATGGCCTTTTGACGATTTAGTTTTGCTAAGACGAGGACGAGCCTAAATAATAATATATTTGCATCTGTTTCGATTTTAATATATAATATTTGTGAGTAAATTATTTCTCTTTAAGTCTTGTAAAAATTGCAATTTTTTATTATTCACTGTTTAAGAAAAGAAATTTAATTTTCGGGTAATTGAAGAATCTATTTATTTTTTAAGGTGATCGTTGGATGATTGAATTTGAAAAGATGAGGTTTGATCATTACGTCTTAGATAGTTTAGAAAAGTAATTTGACTAAATTCTTGTGCGATAAGGGAACCTTTTGTAATATATGTGCTTATTTTATTTAGTTGGCTTTTTGATTTTTGAAGTTTTTTTTTGTATGTGTAAATGTTTATTTAAATTTGGTAGTTTAGAGAAAAGGTAATTTATTTTAATATGAGATTTTAGACATAAAACAGTTCACGAGTCTTTCCAAAAAAGTTTTCAGGTTTATATAATTTTAAAGTCTAAAAGGGAGATTAACGATAAAGGTAATCTTCGATACAAAACAAAGATTTTCAAAAGGATTTCACAAAACTTAATGAGTCTTGCATGTTCACATTCGATCTGGACACCACGAACGGGTTGCATGTTAGACATACGTTCTATATTGGAGGTTCCAAGTATAGCATACTTTAAGAAAACCTAACCTTCAAATATGCATGTGTAAGTCATAAGTAATTAGAAGAACTATGTATTGTTAAGATGACGGCGGAACCCTAGTGCTTAAATTTATTTTCATAACTATTTTATTTTGTTTTCTGTACTTTCTCAATTTATTTAATTTTTTTTAATTAAATTCGTTTTTAATATTTTAGGTCATAAAATCAACCTTTTCCAAACTTGGTTTTCAAATAATTAATTAAGATTTGGTAAATTACATAAATTATTCATTCAATCCCTGTGGAGAATGACCTTGCTTAAGTTGCTATACTACAATAACCTTGTACTCTTGCAAGTATTTTTAACTATTTTTATCACTACTTTTACAGGTGGTAAAATTTCTATCAAGAAATTGGCGCCGTTGCCGATGATTGTTTTAAATAATTTGTGTTTATCATATTCTTAATTGATTATTATTGTACATACATATATTTTTAATTTAATTGCTGATTTTATTTTTTAGGTTGGTTTGTTGATTTTTGGGAGCAATTCAACGATGGGCTGGGATCTACCACTACCAAGAGGACCACCTTTATGGGTTTCTATTGCAAAGTAGGGTTTATGGATTTAAACCTACAATTTGTGCTCTTTGTTGTTCAAATATCCATGAAATTTTGCAATGCCCTGAAAGGAAATATTTTCCAGACTATGTGAAGGAGCATATTAATATGAGGAACGACTCACATTAGCCTTGGAACGATCCCACTTTTGATTACTACGCTCCAAATTTGAAAAAGCATCCTAGTTTTAGATGGGTAGGTACTCAACAACCTTTTGAGCAGCCTAATGTGCCACAAGATTCAGAGGAATGGTGTGTAATTCAAACACCCCACCGTGCAATGAGTTATGACTATACGCAGGAAGACACCAGAATTAAAGAATCACCAAGCGATGACTCTACCCCAATGAAGTAAATTACTGATCCTGGAATTTCAAAAGAATTTGCCGCTACCCAATTCTAACAGTGCACCAGCAAATCCAATCATAATTGAAGAAATTCGGGCCAAGTCCTACAAGCTAGCTAAGATGTACAAGCAATGGGAGAAAAAGTTTAATGGCAGTTGGTGCAGAAGTTGTGGGTATTAAATACAAGGTGAAAGTTAGTTCAACGAAGATACAATCCTCGCTGGAAGGGACGTTATTTGATTTCAAAGACTCATTCTCATATAAGGGTAGAAATAAAAGAGTCAGCCACTGAATTTAAATGCACAGTTCAAGTCACCCCATATCAACCATTGCTCTATGATGCTGCTAAAACGTGGTTGACTCTAAAAGAACAAGTGATGTGATCATCAACTTCTTTTCTTTTTATTTTCGTTCATTTTATTTCTTGTTTTTATTCCTTATCACAAAAAGCCGAAAAAAAATTACAAAATAAAAAAAAAATACAAAAACAGCAATTGGTTTTAGTTGATTAGTTTTTTATATTTTTTATATTTTGGGTTGTTATTCTCACCCGATTTTTAATGTGTTCTTGGCAGGTTGAATTCAGAATCAATTGGCCCTAAATATCCACCAAGCGCACATATTCGACGGAATCATGCATTCAGTAGCATTCATACACTCAACTTAGTACATTCATAATCATCATTCACCCACAATAAGCAAACTCCAAACGAATGCAGAAAAGATTGAGGCAGAGTTGAATAATGCTTACAGTGGGGTTGCCGAGAAAAGCCCTCTGCATTGTTTGGAATCCCCTTTCACTCACTCACTCACTCACTCTCTCTCTCTCTCTCTCTCTCTCTCTCCCTCTCTCTCTCTCTCCCTCTCTCTCTCTCTCTCATATTTTAATAAAATAATTGCTTTACATATAAGTTTGGGGGTGGTCCAGACTGCACAGAGGCGGACATTCAGCAAGCCATGTCACAGATCCAATATTGTGCACACCATTTTGACTCATCATTCATCACGTTTCATGCAAGCACATGGGAAAGCAATACATAAGCATATAGAAATTCACTGATCTAACACATGCATCAACATATCAACGAAGAGGGAGTCGGAAATTATACCTTTGGAGCATTTCTTGTTTTGTTTTCCAGTGCATCGCCGGATTTGAGATTTTGCAGCCATTCCGTTGTCTCTTCCATGGTATTAACGTCAGCTCAAAGTTCCTTGCACAGAGAAAGACCACATGCATGTGTTAGTTCTTTGATTTTCCCATGAAAATAAACCCAATAGAACTCATTAGCACCCATGAGGGATTTTTACCTTGGGGTTTGTTTTTTTTTTTTGGGATTGATCTTCCTTCCGGAGTCTGCGCTTTCGTTTGCAAATCACACCATGGAGGCAATGGGGTTTGTGTTGATGTGAGAGAGGGTGGAGAGAAATGAGAGAGAGACCTATGATTTCTAAATTTAATCAGAAATGAGGGAGAGGGAGCCGTTTGGCTCTGGGCTCGGGGTCATCAAAAGTTGAGAGAGTGTGTGCACGGCTGCTATGGGTTTTTTTCAAAATGACAAATGCCGCTGCTACATTAGTTTATAATGTAGTTGTTGCTAAGGATTCACACACTTGTGGACTTGTACATGTTGGACAATGCCTCTGGTGCTCCTATCATGAGTTCGATCCCAGTGCCTGGCAAAATCCAGAGGTCCTGTCTTACCTTCTTTATCTTTGTTAGTTGTTTTAATGTTTTGTTTCCAGCGCCTTTCCCTAGCTCCAAAGGTCCTGTCTTCGAATCCCAAGTGTGTTCTCTTATTTTCGGTTTTATTTGTTATTTTATATTTTTTTTATTGTTTTCTATTTTTATTGTCCTAGTTTACTTTCTTTATCTTTGTTATGTTGTGGTCTATTTTATCTGACAAGGATAGAGAGGGACGGCGGCAAGGAGAAGAAAGAGAGAGAGATGTGTTTGTAGAATTGTAGGGGAATGTGTGTATTATTATCCCTCATACATTGTGCCTTTATTTATAGTAATATAAGGAGAGAAGATATTCATTCATCCCCAAGGAATATAAGATACAAAAGAAAGTGATAACTAGAATCAAATCTAATCTAGGATTTACACAATCACACTTAAACTATGAATGTTTACAACACTCCCCCTTGAGTGTGTAAATACTCAAGGTAGATTTAGCACCATGCAGAAATTGAGGAAGTCGACGCATTGGCACTGATTCTAAGGAACAACGCTTATTCTCATTAAGGTAGGAACTTGCATAAGTAGTAAGTCTCACTAAAACACCCTAAGGCTATGGCAAAAACCCGAGCAGGGACAAAATCCATAGTTTAAGGAAAAATACGTGAGAAATGCAAAGTCAAAAGAAACGTCTAGATGACGTCATTAGGGATATGACTAGCCCAATGTGGGTGACTTGTTAAAACTTAGTTAAAAACCCAGTGGGAAAAATGCTCCTAATCGTAGGGAAAAATAGTACATTAAGATTAAGCAAGTATCTACATGATACTTCCCTTGAGTTTGACATAATTCCAAAGAGAAATAGCAAAGTTACAACTCAAAAAGTTTACGCATAAACAAGCTTCTGAAACGTTGTCTTCGACAGTGATTTAGTGAAGAGGTTGGCCTGATTATCCTGTGAACAGATTTACGTGACTTCAATCTTCTGATGCTCTTGTTGTTGATGTGAAAAGAAAAACTTCGGTGCAATGTGCTTGGTGTTGTCTCCTTTGATGTAGCCCTTCTTGAGCTGTTCGATGCAAGCTATGTTGTCTTCAAAGATGGTTGTTGGGACATCAATGGTGGGATAAAGATTGCAGGAGCTTCGAATATGGCCCACAACTACTCTAAACCAAAAGCATTCCTGAGTTGCTTCATGTAAGGCGAGAATTTCAGCATGGTTAGACGAAGTGGCAACTAAGGTCTATTTAGTTGACCTTCAAGAGATTGTGGTGCCTCTGATAGTAAAGACATAACCCATTTGAAAGCACGTCTTATGCGGATCAGATAAGTATCATGCGTCGGCATAACCAACAAGGCGAGAATTGACTCAAGGAGCATAGAGTGCGGCACCATTCGAGGATTCGTAGGGATAGAACAAGCCCAGATCTGTAGTAACCTTAAGGTAACGGAAGATGTCTTTCACACCAGTCCAGTGTCTGCGTGTTAGTGCATTATTGTATCTTGCCAAAAGATTAACAGCAAATGAGATGTCGGGTCTAGTGCATTGAGCTAAGTACAATAAAGCGCCTATCGTACTTAGATAAGGAACTTCAGGCTCCAAAATCTCTTCATCAGATTCTTTCGGACGGAAGGGATCACGTTTTGCATCTAGCGAATGAACAACTATAAGAGTACTCGAAGGCTTCTCTTTATCCTCATTAAAGTGGCACAACACTTTCTAGGTGTAGTTCTATTGATTTACTAGGATTCCATTCGAACAATGCTCTATCTCGAGACCGAGACAGTATCGAGTTTTACCTAGATCTTTCATCTCAAATTCCGACTTCAGGTGCGCGATAGTTCTCGCCAGCTCTTCAGTAGTTCCAATAAGATTTATGTCATCGATATATACTGCAACAATTTGTTGTTCACATATCCATGACTGGTCAAATACTCATTCAAACGGTGATACCACATTCTTCCGGATTGTTTCAAATCATAGAGTGAAAGCCTCAGCCGAATTGAGAGCGTGTTCTGGGATTTGGGAATATTTGAACCAGTCAATGTAAGTCATTCGGGAACTTTCATATAGATTTTCGTATCAAGATCCCCTTAAAGATACATGGTTATTATATCCATTAGCTGCATATCCAGTTTTTCGAAAACTACCAAATTGATAAGGTAGCGAAAAGTAATCACATCCATAATAGGTGAATAAGTTTTGTCATAGTCAATCCAGAGGCGTTGTGGGAAGTCTTGTACAACAAGACGAGCTTTGTAACGCACAATTTTGTTCTTCTCATTACGCTTCCGAACGAAAACCCACTTATAGCCAACGGGCTTTACATGTGGAGGAGTAGGAACTACAGGTCTAAACACCTTACGTTTCGCAAGCGAATCAAGTTCGACTTGGATTACTTGTTTCTAGTTTGACCAATCAGTTCTACGTCGACATTCATCAACGGAACGCAATTCCATGTCATCGCTCAAGATATCAGTAGCTACTGTAGATGCTAATGCATCATCGACAATCATCTCATTTCTGCGCCACACATCATCTAAGCTAGCATAATAGACCGAAATCTCATGATTCTCGGGAGAATAATTCATCTCTTCAAGGACACTTCCATAATCTAGAATTTCCTCATGAGTTGGGTAAAATGAGTAAGCGATAGTCTGATTAACAGTAGGTTCTTCAGGACCTTGTGCTGTGATTTTCCTCTTCCAGGGGTGTGAATCTTTTAAACCAAGAGGTCTACCACACTTTTGTCTAAGGGCAGATGATTAGCTAGCCACTAATGTACGTGGATCACCAAGATTGGCATCCTAGGCTTCTAGGAGGGCAGTCCATTGTACATTTGGTACATCCATCTTTGTAGGCGTATTCGCAGCTGGAATATATGATCTTGTCACGTGCGCTAAATCGGTGAAAACATCTGGCATGCTTTGAGCTATGCTCTGAAGATCTAATATGTGATGCACTTTAGTTTCAAATTGAGCAATGCAGGATCTAAATGAGACAAAGTGGGAGTCGTCCACAATAATTTGCGTTGTTCTTCAGGAATGATGACGTTCTTATCTCCCTCTAACAACGGGAAGACTGTCTCATAGAAGTGACAATCCACGAAAGGAGCAGTAAACAGATTGCCTGTCAAATGTTCTAAGTAACGAATAATTGAAGGAGAATCATATCCAACATAGATTCCCATCTTTCGTTGAGGCCTTAGTTTTGTACGTAAGGGTGGCGAGATCGACACATATACCGCACAACCAAATACGCGTAGATGCGATATGTCAGGTTCACCTTCAGTAACCAACTGAAGGGCACCAAATGGTTGTGTTGCAACAGGCCTTAGGCAGACCAACTTTGATGCGTGCAATATTGCATGGCCCCAAGTAGCGATCGAGAGCTTGATACGTATGACCAACGATCAAGCAATCATTTGCAAGCACTTAATGAAAGCATCTGCCAGGCCGTTCTGGGTGTGAACATAGGGTATATGATGTTCAACTTCAACCCTAATCGACATGCAATAGTCATCAAAAGTTTTATATGTCAATTCTCCAGCATTATCCAATTGAATAGATTTAATCGGATAATCAGGATGGTGAGCCCTGAGCTTGATAACCTGAGCCAACAATTTTGAGAATGCATCATTCTTTATGGACAACAAGCACACGTGTGACCAACGTGTGGAAGTGTCAACCAAAACCATAAAGTATCTAAATGGTCAGCAGGGAGGGTGAATCGGTCCACAAATGTCCCCTTTAATCCGTTGTAGAAAAATGGGATTCGAACGAATCTTGTCATAAGAAGGCTTAGTAATAAGCTTTCCTATCGAACATGTTTGACATGCAATTCCTTGGATCGAACCCAAACTTAGGGTTAGTGGATGTCTGTGTGAAGATTTGAGGATACAACGTATCGCTATTCGTCTATGATGTCCTAAACGATCATGCCAAAGTATAATTTAGTGCGCGGTCCCAGTAGTAGGGCCAGCCACATAGCGGCATTCTATAGGGTGTATGGTTGTAGTATACAGACCACTCGGGATACACTCCATCTTCTCTAGAATACGCTTCTGGCCATATTCGTAGGAAGTTGTGCACAGAAATTCAACTCCGTTTTCTACGTGGGTTTCAGTGTGGTAATTGTTATTTCTAATGTCCTTGAAACTTAATAACATTCTTCC